TGTACACAAAGATAAAAATATTTTAACTGGCCAGAGATGTAATACAGAAGTCACGCTCCTGCAACAAAACCTCCAGCAGTAATTTTGCGCATGAAAATTCCCTGGTCATTACGTCACAGTATAAACCAAGCCACTGACGCGTTGATCAAAACATTTTTTCACCCCCATTAGTTTTCAATGGAACGATCCCTGGCCGCTCGCAAGGTATAGGATTCTTGTTTCTGAAGGGTCTAACTTGACTACTAAGTTATACAATGCTTGTATTTACCTCTACTGTTCATTTTACTGCTCATCCACATTATCAACACACCACCAGATGTCTAATTATCCTGGTGAGCTTCGTGAATTGCGTTTGACTTTGATCCACAGCTCTCTTTATTTATCAACCATCTTTAGCAATCTGATCTATTACTTTGCCCTTGTCCCTGTCCAGGAGTCAAGAATTCTTACTTTAGTCACAAGTTTACGGAATGGGACATTATTGGGTTCTTGGATGAGGATAAAGAGAAGGTGCCACTCGAACAGAAATTGGATTCATATATCAAAGACCTCAAGGTCATCGTCAATACTGCGCAAGGCAAGAGACAAGAAAAAGCTCAGCTACTTATCGACAGCTATATGAAGGCAAGTGATAATTTTTTTTTCCTTTGAAATGTTGAATGTTAAGTAGGAAGTAGTGGCGTGGAAGGGAGCTGCTAGCTTCCTTACCATTCAAGACTGCTAGTTGAGCCACAACGCCAGTGTTGGGGCACAGGTGACCTGCTAGGTTGGCTGTGTTCAAGACTGCTAGTTGACCCGGCATCGGCCCCATCGGGGCACAGGTGACCTGCTAGGTTACCTGATGTCTAAAGACTGCTAGTTGAACTGATGGGATTCTGGGAATACATGTAAGATAAACTACTGATTGAGCATATTACTAATTCCTAGACTCTTCTTGGAGGTTTTAGGCTGATCGTCAAAGAGCGAAGGAATGGTATATGTCGACCAGAACAGCTAGTAGTAGACCCTCAGTTAACTTTCACAACTTGAAAGTTATGGGCATGGGTATTGGGACTATTGGAATATTGGTATGTTTTTAAGTCATGCATATATTTGTGTTTCGTCAAGACTCAAAAACAAGTGGTTGTCTACGTGACTAACTTACATTCTCCTTCATAGGGCAGAGTCAATAAGGAGTATGGCATCAGTTTGGAGAAAAGGCCTTGCAGTGTGATCCATGATGATGAAGGTGACAGTGACGACTCACTATGTGAGTCAGCCAAAAGACGATTGACTTGTGAGCTTCGCAAGGCCCAACCAAAAGGAATGCCAGTCAGTGAGATGAAAAAAAAATGAATTGCAGGTAAGTTGGAGTGAATGGTCAATTTTATAATGTGTTTTTGCCACAAATTTATTTCCAACGTTAATGTGCCACTATTATTATTTTAGACAAGCATTTCGGAATCAGATGTTGAATCTGGGTCTGAGAATATGGACGAGAACAAACCTTTACCACTCCAAACGACCAATGTTCTGTCTGACGAAGACGATGAATCGGACGTGACTGGAATTGTGCCACGCGACTGCCCAGTTATCATCAATGATGTTAAGGGACTGCAGCTGGGACCCCCACCTCGACAAGAGTCTAAATGGTTCATAAACGAGATCGATGTCTCAGAAAAGTGGCATCAATTTAAACAGAGATCATTGAAATTAGCAATGGAGAAGGGGCTTTTTGTAGAGAGCCACATGCAGGAAATATTGTATGTGCTCAATTTCTTTGTTTTGCTGAGTTATCATAAAGTCTGATTGCAATTACTTTACTTTGTAGGTTCTTGTCACATGTTCTCCTGCTAAAACCAAAACAATATTCCTCATTAATGATGGAAGTTTTCAGCACTGAATTATTGGAGATGATGCACAAAGACATGCTGGAGAGATTCACTGAACAGGAGACAGAATTTGACTTCGAGATTTTTACAAAACTTACACTGATTGTCAAGGTATGGTTTTTTCCTTTCTCTATACTATGGAAAATTTTTTCTTGATATAGTTTTTTTTTTTGTTTGTTTTTTTGTTTTGTTTTGTTACAGCAACTGCGGAAGGGAAAGGTCACAAGGAATATTGCAGTTACAGAACTTCAGACACTCATGATCAGTCATTCTTATGGAGAAGTGTCTATTTTAAAGGCCATCAAAAACATGTAAGATTGTGCTAAAGCATAAACAAGAAGCCCTTCATGGCATCTAATGCCTTTTTGTTTCTAATTACTAGTATAGAAAGAGTTCCTACAATCACCTTGAGCAGCCCCCTTGGGGAAGTTGAACTTTGCACTACATATATTGATCCAGTCCTGAGTCCAATTATCGCAGACCCTGATTGTGATATTTTTTTGTGTTGGTAAGCTCATTGATTTATTATCATTAACAGTACCAGTATATGCAATCTCTAATTATAGAAAACTGCAGGTCAAATAAAGAAGTGCCCGAGTCAAAGGCAAGGAAGTTGACAGGTAGGGCAAAACAACCTGATGCCATCATAAACAATATTGAACAATTGTCTTGGGGTTCCAGTATGGGACATGGCAAGGCTAAGGTGAAAGAGGAAGCAAATAATCTATAGCCTCAGTGCTGATCTCATCAGAGTTGCTGTATTCAACAAAGACAGGATTGACTTTTACAAAATGCAGTGCATGTTTGGGTTTCAAGTAGTAGGTAAGATCACAGTGGCTTTTTTCTCTCTTTCTATTTTACATCAAACATCACTGAACAAAATTTTCATAGGACAACATATTTCGTTCTACCTCACTACTCTCTTGTGCGATGGTCTATATGTTATGGCAGAGATCGGTCATCTCGACGTTCCAATGTCACTCGAACAAATTCCTGCTTTCCTTTCCAGCCTTGACACGCTTCTCATCACCACCAATGCATACTGGGCAAATTGTCTGAAGTCTAATGCCGCCGTTGAAATAGAATCAAACAAGTGCAATACCTCGCTACTCCAAATTTCAAGGAGTTAATTGCAAGCAGCCGGGACCGGCATCGTCCTTGTAAATTACGATTTTAATTTTTTAGTTATATTTCTCTCTTTTGGAGATCGCATTCCGTTGCTGATTTATATATTAGATTTTACTTATGAACAATGTATGGTATCCATAGGAAATGCGTTGTGGCTTGTTTTTAAAATGAAAGTAGTTCAGGCGTGTGATTTTGACGACAATGCTAGCCCTACACATTGTTTTTAATTCACAGACGAGATTAAACCAAATTTTTTTATTCATGACCAATGTAAAACTCAACTGTTTGTTCTGGGGCAAGTATGTGTCCAGAGCTAGCGAGAACAAGTGAGATTAGTGCATTGTGATCTTCATGGCGGAAACATTGCTTCATATGATAGTGCACCATTCATATGCGATCTTGGTCTCTCACGATCAGTGAATTCAAATTCAACCATTCGAGGCACTTTACCCTATATTGTACCAGAAGTCTTCCATACTCGCAAATTTACTCAAGAATCATCAGATGTGTATTCTTTTGGTATTATTGTGCATTTGATTGTTACTGGTGAACCACCATTTAGAGATAGGCAGTTTGATACAAGCTTAATACGCGAAATTATGGATGGACTACGACCACCGATGCCTGATTCCGTACCAGAGGAATACAAGAAACTTGCCGAGCGGTGTTGTGATGCTGATCCTGATAAGCGTCCAGATGTATATACACTTTGGGAAGATATTGACGAGCTTATTAAAAAGATCAGTTCTGATGACAACACGTGGAATTCCGTTTATTATAATGATGTAAAACCCTTATCACGTCTCGAGAAGGAGATTAAATATTCCAGTACGCTCTTACCTACCGGAGATCTGCCTAAACCAAGAAATATGGTTTCAGCAGCAGGTATGGTTACATGTTAGTATTAGTACAAATAAAGTCAGTTTACAATATTAACACCGTGCATTTCTATAATTTAGATACTCAAACTCTTTTTTGAATAAAGTTGTTTACAGTTATACGAGTTTTATTCAAAGGTTTGAATTATATACTATGTGCTTCCGCGTATGTCAATATGTTTGAGTTAACAAATGCCGAAATAAAATCGTGCACGAAATCCTGAGCCGGTAGCACGTGATTCACATCCGATGAAATTTAAATCTGTGCGAGTCCGATAACTCCGACTGGAATTGTCTGGGCGTTGGTAATATGTGCAACCATGATGATATTTTGTTTCATACCGTAAATAAAAGTGATTTGATCGTTAAGCAGAACACGAAAAACAGGCGAGTGAAGTTTAGCACTTGTGCATGCATAAACGATATTGAGCAAGAACCGCACCAATATCGGCAAACTTTCTGTCTTCAAAATCATAAAATCATGACTTTCTGACAATGCATGTAATTTCGTCAAAATCCTATATTTCGTAAAGCGTCGGATTTATCTCTAGCAGCCAAAATGTGGTTGGTTTCCGTCAACAGATTAGTCTCGTTATATTCGGGATTGATTTGTATTTAGAAATTTGGAGTTTTATTGCTGATACTCTTCGTATTTATACTTTCTTAGAAAAAATTCGAACGGTATTATTACAGCCGGGAGTTGCAGGATCATCAAAAAATTAACCTAAATATAAATAACCGCGATAATAATCTCGTTATACCAAATATAGGGGTCAAAACCAGGAATAGTGATTTTACCCCATTAAACCGAATTTTCCAGTATTTTTTTACTAACCGCCCTCTTCGTTTAAATTTTACAGAAATATATTTGATATGTTTATATTGGTCATAAAAATCATACTTACCTAAATAACTGTGATAATAATTTTTTGATTATGCCAATAATAATAATAAACATGCATTTCTGGACGACTTTCTTAAAAAAATTCGAATTACAGCCGGATTATCAGATCACGGTAAAAGCGGCGGATAATAATAAATACTCGATTATTGCTATCAATCTTCTCGATCAATCAAAAAGCCAGTTTGAAGATTCATGTATTAAATTAAGCTGCGGGTACTCCTATTCGAGGAGTAACTATTACTATACCCAACCAATAATTCCGACTGCCTTACTCGAACCGCGAGCAAAACTATTGAAAGTCAGGGCGGAGAGGAGACCCAACAATAATTGAGTCGCTATCTTTATGTCTTTGCTAAAATGCAGGTTATGTATACTAACGCGAAAACACTTTTCTGTAGACGTTTCATCGCCATCTTTACCATCTTTGGTTGGCCATGAGAAATAGAGTCGAGCAACAGCCTGAGTATAAAAACATTAGTACGTTTTACAATTGTTTACAAGTAACAAGTAACTCGCCACATTGAATAGCCCATGTGATCCAAAGACTAAAGAAAACATCCCAGCCATTACGGAAATAACACATGGCAGCTAGCTATGGGAAGATTTTATTTCCTTGTGTTAATTCTCAAACGTCATATCGATTTATGAAAAATGCCTTTTAAATTTAGTGATATTGACAAAACGAGCAATGACATACATTACATCAATTGTATTAAATTAAAATAGATCGTTTTAAAAATTCAATATTATACAGAGAAGCATCTAATTAATTCCCCCCAATCATTGGCACGTATACGAAAACTTATCCAGCGTCTGCTCCATCTTCCCCAACAATCTGGGATCAAATAATGGACGACAGTTAGTTTCTGTCATCTTTAATATAAAAAAAAAAACTTGTGTAAAACTTACGTTGTTTGACTCAAACCCCAATCATCCACACCATAATATCTTTTATTGCGCTCAATTCGTTTGAATAGTTGAGAAATCAATCCAGGTTCTGGTGAGAATTCATAAGTTACATTTGTGGTAAATGACGGAAGCCTTCTTGCTGTTGGTGGAAGTAATGACTCGATGAAGCTAAGAAAAGTATCAAAAGTCAAGTTAAACTAAATCTGAATTTATCATCACACGCCGCCATAGCATAACAATACCCAACATACCCAATAGCTTTCCCCATGATCGCCGCTTGACCCAAGAAGCTCAATTTAAAGCCTCGGCCATACTTCTCCTTCAGTCTTAATTGTAATCTTAACGTTCCTTGGACCATAATGCTAACCTTTTGACAGAGAGCTTCTGCCTCTTCCATCGAATGCGTGGTCAATATGATCATTCGTCCAGTTTTCGCCTCGTTGATGATATTCCGGATCAAGTCCGGTAGTGAGTTCATCCAAAAAAGACAACGGCTGGATCCCCAACTAATTGCTATCGCTATGGACGTTTTTCACCGCTGCCAAGACCGTGAGTAAGATGATTTTCGAATGGTACTAGATGCACGCGTTCTAATGATCTATCACCTTTTCACGTTCCTGGCCTGATTGAGACGAGCGTAGAACAGCAAGTACTCGCCCACTGTCAAATCATCCTAAAGAATATCATGTTGAGGACATATTCCTATGCTCATATAGACTTGTTCCCTTTGGGTCTTGATATCAAAGCCATTGGCCTTTTGTTGTTGGGTAGAGACCCGTCAAAATGCTGGGAAGTTTGTTTTGCCTAAAGGAGAAACGAAATCATTATCAAAATCAAGCAAATAAACACGTAAAGCTTCTCTCTCCTTCTCTTCTCATTATACGCACCAGCACCGTTAGGACCCAATGGTTCAAAAATCATGTTTGATTCGATAGCGAACGTTACATCCTTGACAGCCAACTTTCCGTTCGGGTATTCTTTGCGCATTCTTTATAACCAATGGTGGAATCTGATAGAAACTGATTGGCTAAAACTCTGCGCTGCTCTTCTCGGACGTCTTCGTTTTACGTCAGTCCTGTTTTGTCTCGCCTATTCCGAGCAGCTTTCTGAATAACGTACTAAATACAAAATACTATGGTTTTCCTTTATTGTACTCGGATGGGAGCACTTGAGACAAGTACCACGCAACTATTAGTAACATAATGTCGTGCTGTAAAGATCCATCTGGTCCATGCTGTAAAGATCCATCCGATCCGTGCTGTGAAGATCCATTAGTATATCTGACGGATCTCGTTGACAATGTTGAAAGCACGGTAAAATGCAAAAGGAGCCACGTCAAGTAAGCGATGGATGTCGTAGTGAAAATTGACTGTTGCCAAGTTAATAATTACGCCGCTGATAGTAATAACGCATGACTAGTGCAGTACGGGTCTTGTTGAATATTACCGAAAAAAGAAATGCCAGGACTATATGCAAGTGTGGTTACTGTTATATGAAAGGAAAAAATTGCGAAATTGTTTATTTTAAAAAATTGATAATAAGAAAGAGGCGAATGGTAAAAAAAGTGAATTTGAATTTTAAAATTTGTTTGGGCGAGTTGAGGCGAGTGAGCCAAATAACACCCCCAGATCAAGAAAAGAAGCCAGATAACGGGTGGTGAGGTTCTAGGATTTTAAAGACTAGTCCGTTTGCCACAAAGAATGCGGAATTGATGTCGTGTAGAATGTAAAATGGATATCGTGCATCATGTAGTAAGCGTAATTCTTGATTCCGTTCATAGGGAAAACTCTGTTCTCCTTTTCTTTGAAGAAACACCATATGGATAGAGAATGCGGCCTAAAAATATACCTGCCCCAATATTCATCGATGACTCCAATAGATATGGTATGACACGAAACCCGGCTTGTTATAACTGTACTCACATTACGCGGTACTCAATTGTGAGTGTTGGACCGCTCTCCGCAAACCGTGGCCTGGAAACGGAATACTCTGGGCAATGCGATCATCACGGCCAATTTGCATGGTATAGTTCCACCCCAAGACGGCCAATTACGGTTGATTAGTGCAGCGTCTTCCTCTCCAACGAGAGGTGGCACTGGTACGAGAGCTTCGGCTTCACAGTCTCAGACAACATATTCGTGTCATGTCCGTCTCAGAGATATATTTGTCAATTAACATTAACCAGTGAATACCTACTAAATATGGTAGTGGAATACTGATCCTGGAAAAGAAATTATGCGTTACACACGCATCATCTGTTATTAGTGTTGAGAATGCTTTGTACTTGAAAACTTCTTATTCAAACATGTCC